AATAAATTTTTATTCGCAATTAACCAATGCATTTGTGGTTAAATTTAGCGCAGATTGGCTTAATTCCATAATCCTTCGCATGATGAATGTGACGTATGCAGCGCTATTTTTATCAGTTTTCCCTTTCCTCCTCTTTTTTACCATATTTTCCTCCTCCGTTCCCGTTCTGTGCCCTCTGTCCCTCGTTTCACACTACTTCTGCATCCTAATTTTACACACGTCATATGGATGCTGTATTTATATCTGGTTAAGTCCCCAGAAATTTCCCAGTTTGTCGTTTACACTTTTTTGTCTGGATGCCTTCAGGAGGACAGGTGTTGCATGTTTGAGGCAAGAATGCACTGGATTGCCGTACTTCCCCCAGCACGCATACATGCAGGATGTCAGCTAGGAGCACCTCCTGCATCCTCGTCCACTGATCGCTGTGTTATTCCTCGGAAGCTGTTGAGAGGGAAGTTAAGCAGAAGGGCATTTTTTTTCTGGAGATTTCCTGTCCGCATCTGGCTATTTTAGCACCAGAAAGTAGGCTTCGTATTTCATTTTCATTTCAGTTGCTAACAGTTGTCGCGATGCAGCAGTACCCATATGATTGTCACGTGAAAGAACGATCCGTAATCCCGAAAACTCGTAGTCTCAGACAGCAAAGCGCCACCCTAAAGTGATCTTGGAGTGGGGACGAAGTGATAACGCTCACAGCAAATGGCCAAAGCGTTGCCAAAGTGCTAAGGATGGGAGAGCAAGTGAGCCGGTAATCCCTTCAGAAGACGAGAGGCACGTGAAAATTGATAAACAAGCGATGCAGCATTGGTCAAAACAGCCATAAAATGAAGAGGGAAAATGGCTCGGTGGTGGCCCCTACAGAACTGGTGAATAATCAGTGTTGCCGTTCCAAGTAATTCCTCAAAGTCTAATGTTGATCCCTTGCCCGAGGCACAACTGTGGCGTCTGAGTGCATTCCAGTAACATTGTTCACCGATTGTCCGTGAGGTTTTGGTAATTTCTCGCTATTGAAATGAAGTTTGGGGGTCAATTCGCCTCTCCATTTTTGCAAAGTTGCTTCCTCTCCTCCCGATTTATTTACCATTTCCCGGCACTGCACTGCGCATCCCAGTTTTACTGGTCTCTGCTAGAAATGCCTCATTTCCATGATCACCTCATTTTTAGCTGCTAAATGTCGCGTTTCCTTGCCAGTTATTCGCTTTTTGACGAAATTCAGTACTTTCCAGTTGACCCTAACTAACTGTCAGTTGTGGTGAATTTTACACTAATTTCCTACACTTCCCTTTTTTTGCCAGAATTCCCTTACAGTGTTCGTCATTTCGCATTCCTCTCATTTCATTTTTTTCGCACTTTCCCATCCGTTCAGGGATGAGTTTAGCTGGATAAAGTACTGCCTTCCTTCCTCGCTATCTCATTGTGCCTTCGTTCACCCGACCTGTTTCACCTCCTCGCATAACTGATCTGGAAGATGCGCAGTGCTACTGCATAGACCACTGTACCCATAACGACCGAGTAGAGTGTTGTCGGGTGGCGAGGGTGAGTGTTTTTGGCCAGGGGGTTCTGGGCGGTTGGTGTGAGGATTTCCCCTCAGTGGGTGGTTGAGTCAAGTGTACTTTGCGCTGCTTGTTTCAAGGGGTTACGTTGCGGTTCACGTGAATCGCCACGTGAGCACCGTTGTTCGGTTTTGTTTTTTTCGCTCTCTCTCTCTCTTTCTCGCCTGTAACGTTGAAGTTTGGAACTGGTTCTAGACTGTTGCTACTGATATGAGTGGGAGGATGCCTGCTGGAAGAATGCTCCCGCAGAAAACCGCGCAATCCCAGCACCGATTACCGCGCTGATGCTCCAGGACGAATGTGATGCTACAACAAGCACGTGCGCATTACCGATGTCCGGCTATAGTCCGACAAGGAACAAGCATGGTGCCTCGACAAAGTCTGTAAGTTTTACCGGCTTTTGTGTTATCTGCACAGATTATATCAGTTTAGGTGTGTGTGTGTGTCTCGGTCTGTGCTGATGATTCAGTTCCAGAACTGCGAAAGCTAGAAAGTTAATTTCAGACGCGCAGTGCTGCACCTGACTATGCATGAAACTTGCAGCTCAGAACTACCTCCTAGCGCAAAACTACCACCCTATGCTCGCACGTAAAAAACGTGAAAAATTTGGCTACGTGATTTGGCGTTGTTGCAATATGCACCATCAAATCTTTACGTTCGACAAGGCTGAGGAGGATTATCATCGGGTGAGTGGGTCAGAGATGGGGTAGAAGGACGAAAAAGTTAGGTGCGCTTCATGGCCGACACTGTTCTCATTGCGAGTAGCGCTTTCGAGATTAGTGGCATGCGTTAGAAGTAATGGGGGAAAGGGGTCGGAAAATGGAGCTGAAGGTGGCGCAGACTGGCGGTGTGCTCGGAGTAGTCGGCTTGTAGACAGGCGATAACTGACTTGGAAGAAGTTGACAGCTGCTGTTTTGGGCAGAAAGGAAATATGCGCCACAATTCCGAGTCGAAGACTGCACGTTGAAGAGCTATTAGCTGGTGCCGGTTCTTTGGCACCCTCGGTTTCCTCAGGGCGTTCAGTTGTGTTCACCAGGTTAAGGCAATGGCGTATTTGATCACGAATGAACGGGAAAGCGAACGCTGCTTGTAAAGAGGGGAGTGCACGGCGCTTGCCCAGACTTCTAGGTAATAGGTGCTAGCTGCAGGTGTGCAATTCAGGGCCGAAGAATCTGGCACAGGTGCATTTGGCGTTTGAATGCATCTTAGTGGCAACACCAACCTTGGATCATAATCGTTATTCGAGACTGTCTTAGTGCCGGGAAATATTGTCAAAATCTAAGCTGAATTTTCAGCTTGAGTTGATTTTGTTGTGAAGCGACGAAGTTATTGGCATACTGGTAATTTTTGCCGACTTCTCCTGAAATTTTTCAAGAAGTTTTTTTTTGCACTGAAAACGTTTCTGTGTTCCTTGAATTGCTGCGAAATTTTTGCAGTATTTAAGAGAGTTGCATTTTTTTTTTGCAGAACAGTTGTGGTGTCAAAATCCCAAACGAATTCCTGACGGCAAATTCAGCTG